TAACATTTATATAGAATTATTTTTGTACATAGTAACTTTATAAAGTTACTAACTTTAAAAACTACCAATAAAGATATGAGCAAGGCCTTACCTTAATACCAAAAAAAAAACAAAGATTCTAGATATGAAAAAGTTAATTAGAAAATAGTGATTTTAATAAATTTCTTATAGTATATGCATTAAACTGTATATATATAACTGTATGCTTGATTTCTTCTAATACTAAAAGATCAAATTTCCTAAATTTTGTAGCAAATATTACATTATTAGCAAGTAGTTTATGATTATGTTTTAAATGTATAAAATTTATATGTATAAAACCACTATCTTCAGGTTAAGACAGGTTAATATGCTATTTGTAATTTGTTTTTTTGATTCTTTGTTATATTGTTGGTCTAATGGTTTTGTATTCTTTGGTTTATAAATTATAGCACATTCATATGAAAATGTTTGTCTTTTTACAATTTGATTAAATGAATCAGCATTCTTGTAATAACCAACCTGGTAATGATTAATAGCAAATTCTTGTTGTTGACCATATTTCTTAATATAATGTTTAGCTATTGACCAAGACAGAAAACATGATTCAACAGCCAATTCTATTAGTTAAGTTAATAAAGAAAATTTTATAGAATCAATATTTACTAATTCTGACTTCACAACTGGACCTACAAAAGAGCAACATTATTTAATTCTTAATATATATAGTTCAATTTTCTAATATTAATAAACTGAATCTAAAAATCTACCTTCTTCTAATGCTTCAAGATCATTTAGTTCTGTCAACTCTAATAAATACATTACAAAGCTTATTTATTAGATTATTCTAATTCAAACAAAACATGTATAAAGGCAACTAATAACAAAATCTACTTTGTACTGAAGTATCTAGTTCTACAAATTCCTTTAACTGAAATAAAAAAGGTTTGGTAAGTTCAAGGTTATTATGTTCTGAACTCAAAACAACACCTAGTAGAGATAGAGAAAATTTAATATATTCCAAGCTATTATGTTCTTTAATAACTTAATTTTGATATTATGCTTAAGTTATAAATTACCTGATTCCAAGCCCAAAATTGAATTTATAGCAAAAACATTGTCTAAGTCTTTCAAATATAAAATAGTTATTGCATTAGTTTGTAAGTGCAATGATTCATATAATGGTAAAATAATATTCACCTTGTATGCTTTCTTTAAAAAAAAAAAAAAAAAAAAAAAAAAAAAAAAAAAAGATTATTATAATTGGTTTGTCAGAAAGAAATTACATCAATTTGTTATTTTAGTTTAAATTTTAATTTGGCTGATTTGTAAACTTGGATCAAACAACTGGATTGTATGCTTTTTCTTGGTTTCTTTATACTACAACTATCTTCTATTTTGTGATACATATTATAAAGTCTCAGAGGTTTTAGTATTTCTATATTAAAAAACTATTGCATAATTCAAATAATTACATGACTAAGTATCATATACAAGCATATATCCTATATATATTAGTTTTTTTTACACATACTACTGTAAATATTTTCTTTACTCTTCATGATTGTAAAAAAATAAAAAACATGCTTTTTTCTTATTTATATCTATTTTATATCAATTCTATTATTACATCATTTGTATAACATTTAATTTACTAATCTATAAACTATATATATACTATTATTTACTATATTGCTATTTTGTAATCTATGTTACAAATATGCAATGCAATGATATCGCATATGCAATAAATAAATTATCTCTATTAAATAAACCTCTTAACATATATTTTATATTTATATTATTTAAAAATATATTAATTATTAAATTTTTTTTTTTAAATATTAACAGTGAGGCCATGCCTTTAACTTTATTGAAATTCAATTGAAGTTTTTACAAAGAAA